ACGCAACGAGCAAGCGGTTGAAGCAACATAGGCGCAAACGACGCCGACGTCTTTGCATACGTTTTGACTGCGCCGTTACGATTTATGATTCGACGTCAATTTAGTTTGGAAGCAGCAACGAGCTACCAACGGCTAAAATTTAAAACACAAAATCAAAAGCGAGTGTGTTTGGGGCGTGGGCACCATTCTAATAAGAAAGTCCAACGAATACGAAAGCAAAGCAAAATAAATAAAAGGACGGTGAAATTCAATTCAGTACGGCTTTTAAATTTTCACTAATAAAGTTTGTTTAAATATGATAAAGCTAGTCACTTTGAGGGCCAGTCAGCTGAATGCGCTGCTAAGAGCTAACGAATTGCCAATGGCTGATTTTAAAGCTGCAAGAAGTTTTGGGCACGGATGAAATCGATTCACCGGAGCTCGAAGATGACTCTATGACGTCCGCAAACGATTTTCAAACGCAAATCAATAGCTTTAGAGTTGACGAGTTTAACATAACCTATTAGTAGGGTTAATCGCAATTCGACACCCGCAACAGATAGCGGTGAAGTGCAACATGGGTCCAACGACAGCGGTGATGTTAGACCAGGCTCAACCATTCTCATGGGGGAATCAGCCAATGATTCACGCAGTCCATCACGTACAAAGATATCGATCCAGGAGATGATTGGTATAGTGCCTTAGTTTGACCCGCTCAGAGGTTCTACGTCTGCAACGCAGTTTGTAATACGAACTGAATAACTACAACAGTGCTACGGGTGGCCAAAGGAGATGGTTTTGGTTGCAGTCCAGCACAAAATGAATAGCATGGCCAAACGCTGGCTGGATGCCCAACCGGTTTTCCGGTCTTGGTCTCAATTCGTATAAGCATGTAACATAGATTTCCCGTCTACGCATAACGCAGCAGAAACACACAAAGCGCTAATGAAGCGTAAACGTAGAAACGGAGAAGATTACCTGGAGTATTATTATTCAATGCTAACGATAGGTCGTCAAGGTATGGTGGACGACGTACCCATCATCACGCACTTAATTAGCGGTCTCAATAAATGCCACGATACTTTCTTTCTTTCTTGAGTAAAAGCTTTAAATTTGCCAAGATACATAAGTTTCTGGCGGTCTCACCGCTCGAAAGCAAAAGTACTTGTAATTTTTCAAAGAATAAACAGGAATTGTGTGTCTCATGTATTTTTGGTGTTAATGGCGCTAGCGCTTTTCGAATATTGGTGTTGGCGCGGCAGCTCCGGCTACGATGTTAACGGAATTGCGCCGCGCAGCGCAGTGTTACTCATGCCAAGTGGGAACAGCTTTCAGTCCACAATCCCAAAACTCGTTTTCAAGTGTTTTCGTTGTCGGTCCGAACATGGTATTAGAACGAAAACGTGTTTTCGATATCGGTCAGAACATGGTATAATTACGGTGACCATATTTATGGGAGCCGAATACGGGACACCAAATAATTTTGCAATTTTTTCTACAAAAACTTGCAGATCTTAAAGCCTTCTTCAATGATCCTAGATGTATTAGCCCTGAAACAGCATCCTTTTAGTAACATCACAAATTTGTAGGAAAATTTTCTCGAGATTTTTACCTCTCAAAATTTGTTAAAAAAATCGTTAAATTTTCAATCGCAATTTTTTCGTACAAAGTAATTATGTTCGAACATTTTTTTAAAAGAAGGGCACTTTATTATACTCAATTTTAATGAGGTAGGTACAAAACTGCAAACCAATTTTTTTTCTAAGGATTCTAATTAAAGAGTTTGAAATTTTGGTGAAACATTGCAGAATTAATTTTTATAGTTTTTTTGCACAAATTTAGAAATCTGGTATTAAAATGAATCAGTGAGATTGTATTTTCATATAACAAAATTTTATTTGTGCCACAATGGCTCGTAGGCACAGTAGCCAATGGAAAAGTTCTTTTACCACCTCTGCAAGATTGTAAGTCATGCAGAGTCCGCAAATGGCTCCGCAAGCATTGACCTGAGGATGCATCAGACTAGGCCGAGCATACTTTGAACTGCCATTAATTTATAACATAAGACAGTTTTAATACATGACAGTTGAGAAGTTCATGTACAAAAGTTTCATTAATTTAATGAAGGAAACTTTCGCCCATGCAGCATGAATTTAGGCGCGTTCCCGTAACCGAAACGACCCAGATTTATATCTGGCCAAGGACTGTCACTCCAGCAACACTAGCCAAAAACTCTTTGAGGAATTTGTATGCTAATAATAAACTAAGGAAATATAGCCAAACCTTGCTAAAATGTTGAGTCCAAATTTATATGTCGATCACTGTATGTATTCCTCGAATCGGAACACAGGAATTCAGATTAGAAAACAATAACTTTTTATGGAGAAAATTGTGGTCATATACCAACATCACTTAAAACTAGTTCATAGGCATGTAATGTTAATGAGCTTTTAAGGCGTCGAGACACCGAATACGGAATAAATACCGGGCATTAAAAGAAATACAGAACACTTGGCGTTCCATATAACAAAAAAAAATGTACAGGACAACGAGTCAAAAAAGAGGACTGTCCCGTATAATACAGGACGGATGGTCACCGTAGGTATAATGCTAAAATCGTATTAATAAATGCACGAAATGAATGCATGGAATACTATGGTTTACTTTAACTGCATTTGTAACATAAAATTACGAAACTAACCGATTTATTGAAATATCAAAGCGAAAACTAGCTGCGAAAATCCCGCTATGTTTAATTAAAACATGGAAATGCTTGGTGTTGCCAATTTATTATTATCAGAAAAGGCTTTAATTAGTGATGCCAGTTGCAATAAATGTGGAAGATTTTAAGGTTTTTACAATTAAAGAAATGAAATTAAATTTAGATTGCGTTTATTGCTACGTTTATACATTAGCTATTTGCAAATAAAAATAATTTGCAAATACCTAACTCACTGTTTATTCGATGGTGAAATTTTTTTTTTTAATATTGCCTGATTATATAAGACCATCGAAAAATAAAATAAAGTTAAAAATTGCAACGTCTTGATTATAAAAAGGCAATAAGATGACCATCGAAAAAGAAAATAAACCTAAGAATTGGTGGCGTCTTGCGCTTATTTGCAAATAGTACCACTAATCAATACTTATTTGCGTGATTTAGTTATTTGCAAATAAAAAATTAACTCGGCGTTTATACGGAAAACGTTTCCATTTTGCAAATTGTTATTTGCAAATAATACGTGCTTATAAACGTAATATTAATTTCCGGTATGTATATAAGAATGCGCCCATTCACAAGTCTATTTCCTTATGTAATTCTGATTGTAATTACTGGATTTTTATTGTTGCCGGAGAAGAATGTCAGAACTTTTCTCTGCGTAGGCGGCCTTCGGCCGCGCTTAGGAATCACAATCCTTACTGCGCAGAATTCTCCTCTTTGTGTTGCCGGAGAAAAACAGAACTTCTTTCTGCGTAGGCGGTTTTCTGCAGCGCTTAGGGATCATAACCCTTAATAGGCAGAGTTCTCCTTTCTGTGTTGCCGAAGAAGAGTGGCAGAACTTCTTTCTGCGTAGGCGGCCTTCGGCCGCGCTTGGGGATCATAACCCTTACTAAGCAGAATTCTCCTTTCTGTCTTGCCAAAGAAGTTAGGCGGAACTTCTTTCTTCTTTAATTTCTTCAATTGTAAAAAACTTAAAATCTGTATCATTTGTTGCTATTGGCATCACTAATTAAACCCCTTTATAATAAAAATAAATTCGCAACACTAATAGCGTCTTTTTTTTCTCCATAAAATTCTGCCCTAATGCTGCCACTTTAAAATGCTGTATTCTTTTGTAAAATAAATGCAATCTTTGCAGAGGGCAGAGCTATCTTTTCTCACAGGGTTACCCTAAAAATGTGGTAAAATGTAACATATTTCGCCCTCTCTGCTTGGCAACACTAATAGCGTTTTTGTTTCTCCATAAAATTCTGCCCTGATGCTGCCACTTTAAAATGCTGTGTTCTTTTGTAAAATGAATGCAATCTTTGCAGAGGGCAGAGCTATCTTTTCTCACAGGGTTACCCTAAAAATGTGGGAAAATGTAACATATTTCACCCTCTCTGCTAACGACAAGGGAGATAATTGCCCTTTCAATCAGCTGATCAATAGTAACATCACGTAAAAATAGTACCTCTCTTGTCTCGTTTTAGCACGCATATATCGGCAATGTTAAAGCAGCACAGATAAAGTGTGCACATTTTTGACATTTCATTTTGTCGCTCGTGAATCGAAAACGCAAACTTTATGCTTAGGCATAAAATTATTAAAATATTCTAGGTGCCCGGGATCTTTGTAAATTTTAATAACCTAAATCAGGAAAACTGATTGTATTTTGTCAGGTAAATATGTTTCCCAGAAGATGGAGTTTATATATTTGTAGTTACTTACACAGAAATTTTTGGTGTCACAGGTGGAAGAGAATTGTTGGCGAAAATGGAAAAACGCTGCTTGTTTGTAGGAACAAAAGTAATAAATGACCCCTTGGAGTCAGATGATGAGGAAATCGGAGTGCTTTTACATCCAAAAGTGAATTGCTTACATGTAAAAGACTTTATAGATGAAGTAGTCAACTTGTACACAGGCCGCGAGGTATTTTTTTCATACGGGCACGGATTAGTATTTCGCTCACCAAGTTTCAGAGAAGCATACTTTCTTTGTGAAGTTTGGTTTACGCTTTATCCAGTGGGTGGAGTTTCATGAAGAACGCCCATGCATTTCCCCGTACCGCCCTCAAACTAGTGGGCAAAATACTAAACACTCCTTTCATAATTTTTCTCAATGCTTGTTTAGGGTACTGTTTTGTTATTTGTACAACGATGTTGAGTTGGTGTGCTCAAACGCGAACCATCCTTATTCGTTTAGGGTGGGTTTGGAGGACCACGCCCCTTTTCCTCCGCTCACACCACAAAATCGTTGTACAAATAACTAACAGCCTAATTCTGTGCACTTGACAATTTAACAGAAAGTTGACAAATAATCAAGATTTTTATCAAGTTTAAATCTTTTCGGCATTCTGTGCATAACTTGATAAAACTAAAAAGCTTTTACACCCTGTGCTTTTCCCCACACTATGGTGAAAATCGTAATGTAAACAGAGCTCAGCTGTTTAGTGCAAGAAACTGCCGAATGGAGTCCTCAAAAACGTAAGAATTTCAGTTTTACATTACTTTTATATAATATAAGCTATTTATTTACAGAAAAACAAAACACGATCGTGCTACGCAGGAGCAGTTGCAGCGTTTTGTCTCATTTGTCCGGGCTAATCCTGATATGGGGAAAGGAAAGAATAACCCGAAGTCGCCACAGAAAATGCAGTGCTTATGGAATCAGTTGGCGGACGAGTTGAATGCATTGAGGGGACCAACACGCACCGCAGTAAAGTGGAAAGAGGTAATTTATTTTATCTCAGTTATTATATGCTTATACATGTATGTATATGAATGTATGTACATACATATGTACATTAATATATATGAATGGATATCGTTGTTTAATGTTGCCATAATTTTAGACCCTCGGAGTTTGGAAGAGCCAATTGCGTACGCGAGCACGCAGATTAAAAATGAGTCAAAGGATTACTGGTGGCGGTCCAGGTTGCAAACAGCTGAGCGAATTTGAAGAGCGTGCTTTGACCACTTTTGGTTCGCCTGCAGTTGGTGGCGTAGGTGTTGAAAGTTTTGGGCTAAGGCCATCAATGNGCGGTTTGAAGAGCGTGCTTTGGCCACTTTTGGTTCGGCTGCAGTTGGTGGCGTAGGTGTTGAAAGTTTTGGGCTAAGGCCATCAATGTCTGAAGAGTTATTGGTGGAGTGCCCCGCGTCTACAATGGCGAGTACATTGCCGATTCCGGCACCACAGAGCCCAGCACTGTTATTGAACCCTTCACCATCGCCGGCCGTTGCACCAATATCAATCATTGTGCCATCGCAAAGCGTTTTACCACTGTTGAGTCCCACATTATCGCCGACCACCGCACCGATATCAAGCATTGCAATATCGCCGAGCGCTACACAGTTGTTGAGTTCTTTACCGTCGCCGCATGCATCAACGTCGTTTGACGTGGAAATTCCAGTAACTTCAAAATTGTTTTTGCGTATACTTTTTTTTAATTAGCTTTATTTATTAAAGAATGATACCCTGTTGGATGTCGGCTCATCGCGTCCATCACGTGGGGAACGAAAAAAACTTATGAATGCCCTCATTGCTAATATAGCAAAAAGAGGTACCATCGAAGAACAGAGGCAACGTCGCGACGAGGAGCAACGCCAGGAGCACCTTGAAACGATGCAGGCTATCAAAGGGCTAACGAGCTGTGTGGCTGAGCTAATACAGGTTTTGAAACCAAATTAAATAAACTTGCCAAACAAGTTTTAACAAGTGCTGAAATCTACTTAAAGTACCTGCCAAAATTGTTGATGTTAATTTTTATTTGGCAATGTTTTATAAAAATATACAGTGACCAAACAATATTGTACAGGGATGTGCCTAATATGTTCATAATGTTTTGAATTAGGAATTTTATTCGGCATTTTTTTATAAAAGTATGACTCATCTAACAAAATCGAAACTTTAAACTTTATGCAAAAAATAGAAACTTTTAACAAAGTTTCATCAAAAGTACAAACGTTTTAATTAGAATTTATAGAAAAAATAAATAGGCTAATTAATTTTATATACTAAAGTGCAAGTTTAATATTGCTAAAAGATCCTGTTGATTTTTGAAAAATTGTTTGCTGGCGGTGTTACGCATTTTCTTCCAAACAAAATATGTACGAAAGTTTTTCGGCCGCTGTGGTGTAGTGGTAAGCAGTGCGCGCTTCCACTCCACAATGCCTGGGTTCAAACCCTGGGCAAAGCAACATCGCAAAAATATAGAAAAAAGGTTTTTTCTTAAACAGCGGTCGTCCCTCGGCAGGCAATGGCAAACCTCCGAGTGAATTTCTGCCATGAAAAACAGCTTCTCATAAAAATACAACCGCCGTTCGGAGTCGGCGTAAAACTGTAGGTCCCTCCGCTTTGTGTGACAACATCAAGGCGCACGCCACAAATCGCAGGAGAAGCTCGGCCAAACACTAACATATGTGTAAGCGCCAATCTATTATTATTATTATTTATTTTTTCTATAAATTCTAATTAAAACGTTTGTTTCAATTTGAATCGTTCAAAAATTTGTTAATTTGTCAAAGGCATTTGACATCTTGACAATTTATCAAGAAAAAAGCTTTTTATTTTTGACATAGAATACGAAACACTTGATAAATTGTCAATATTGATAAATAAACAAGATGGTGAATTTATCAAGTGCACAGAATTAGGCTGTTAACATTTCCCCTTGTTTATATACTGTATATTTTTATATTTATGCATTTGTAGTTTAAACGAAATTTTTGCGTTGAACGTGGAAGTGCGGAATATTTAATTGCAAAATATACAAGCAGTTCCTACTCATACAATATTATAGCTGCTTAAAAGTTTAGTTTTTAATTCATGAAATTACATATACTTATGTATGCTTTTAAGACGTTATTAAGCGTTATAACATCTTGTGGATCCCTTTACTGTATTTACATATTTTGGTTTGTAGGCTTTAACAGAATATAAAATAAGTTTAAGTGATTTTCTCTTTCTGGTCCACCGCAGTGTTGGAAAATTGTAATTGTATTGTAATTTATACCAAATTCTACAATACAAATACAAATGGTTTGTATTATTATAAAAATAGATTCAAGTTAAAAAGAAATAAATAAATGGTCAACTATCGTATAATGGCAAACGCCAGTTATACGCCTAAATCTATAAATGTGTTTTTGCCAATGCCACGATTGGTGCAACGGTCGGCTCATCTGGCAGATACAAAATCACTGGCAGCAACGTCAATGTGGGCATTTGTATGGCTTGGGGAATGTTTGTACAGGTACAGGTTTGCCAAAGCTGAAAAAAGATGTGTATATTTTTCAGCATTTAATCGCTAGTTATTCGAATTTGCTTACTTACACCGAATGTTCTGTTGGTGCCGTTGTTGCTGTTCAAGTTGCTCCGAAATCCGAACCACTAGCAAGAGCAGTGTTTCCGAACACGCCGTATAAAGGTGATGTGGATTTGGCCGTCAATGGCATAGATATGGTGATGGAGAACAGTCAGTTGTTGTAAATGAGCGAAGGGCGCCGATGAAAATATTATTTGGAGAAACGTTGGGCCAGAAACGAAAGGCACTTGCAATCATTTTACATCCATTTGCAGAAGCCTGCAAACCAAGAGCTAAAAAATATATATTATAACTTTATAGATAATAAGCAGCATATACAATTTAAACCCGATTTTATAACTATCCCCTTATTCTAGAACCCGAATTTTCGTAGTTCGTAATTGGTAGCTATGCTACGAAAAACGAAAAATCCACATGCTGCAGCATTGCCAGCTATCAGTTGTTTTTCGAAGATAGCTGAATGAAGGAAAACAAAGTGGAAAAGAATTAAAAAAACACTCATCATGTGCTTGTTTATTGTAAAATTGGTTAATTTTACATATTTTGAGGACAATTATGGATTCTGATGTATTTGCAATTATAGCAGCAGAGTAAGCGGGCGCTATGGCAATGGATTCACAAAGGTATGCGGAGCTGTCGGGCATAGTAACCATGGGCGCATCTATGTCAGCTTGTGGTTGAATTGTTGAACCACAAGCCAGAACTCCTCCTATACCTGAAGGTCTGGTTCTCAATCCAGTTAATGCAATAACAGCTTCTTCCAAGCCATTGAAAACATGCACTTTGTCAGGTCCACCACCTGTTGCGCTTGCTTCTGCCTTCGGCCGCGCTCAGGGATTATAACCCTTACTAAGTAGAATTCTCCTTTCTGTGTTGCGGGGAGGAAGGGCTTTTGCCTGTCAAAGGTATACAACATTTCTTGTGCATATTACTCCGGCTACGCCGTCCACAGTATTTTTGCGCAGACCCCACGTCGAAATTTGCAAAAAGTGCATAGTGCAAACTGAGTTTATCAATAAGCTAGTGGTAGGAAGTGTGAAACATATATCCCAAATGAAATGTGAATCTTTTGATTACACGTGTATGTTAAAGTTTTTGGATTCGGGTTATGCGTTTGGACACAACAACCGAAAATCGTTGTACATTAACTAAACCGGGCCCAAGTTTCTCGATAAGGGGCAACAAATATTCTTTTTTGCTCGTTTATATAAAGCAGTGGATAAAAATATACGTATATGCGAAAGGCAAATTTATGTGGTGGTGTTCATTACCAATATTTCTTGCAAACACACATCGATTTACATCTTTTATTTCGACTCCGACACAGAATTGTTTTTGTACAAAATTACGCAAAAAAGTTCATTTTTAGGCATGCCATTGTTACNTGAGTTTATCAATAAGCTAGTGGTAGGAAATGTGAAACATATATCCCAAATGAAATGTGAATCTTTTGATTACACGTGTATGTTAAAGTTTTTGGATTCGGGTTATGCGTTTGGACACAACAACCGAAAATCGTTGTACATTAACTAAACCGGGCCCAAGTTTCTCGATAAGGGGCAACAAATATTCTTTTTTGCTCGTTTATATAAAGCAGTGGATAAAAATATACGTATATGCGAAAGGCAAATTTATGTGGTGGTGTTCATTACCAATATTTCTTGCAAACACACATCGATTTACATCTTTTATTTCGACTCCGACACAGAATTGTTTTTGTACAAAATTACGCAAAAAAGTTCATTTTTAGGCATGCCATTGTTACGAATTTCGAAAGTTCGAAAATACAATTCGGATCGCAGCATACTATTTCTACGATTCGTAACAAAATCCGAATACGAAAGAGTTGCAGAATAGGGGTGTATATCTCGCACACCCGCAGCTTTAAGCTGGTTTGATTTCAGTCAAACATTTTTCCATAAGGCTTTCGATTCTTGTAGCTTTCCCCATTCTCTCCTTGTGTCGCTTCTCCCTGGCTTCCTCTTTCCTAGCAGCAATTTCAATTAGAGTTTCTTGCATCGTTTTTTTCTTTCTTTGCTTTTCTTTTGGTGAGACCTCTTTTTTAACTATACATTGGCTACTCAGTTTTATTGCCGGCTCAATGGAATCAACCAGTTTGCAAATTTTTTTTTGGCGTTTTGCACCTGAGCTTCTGTTATTTTCCACTGCCGCATTTTTTCGTTTCATGATGGTCTTGTACCTTTCTTCACACTGCTTCCAACTTTTCCCGTCGAACCCAGCGCCAATCTTCATCCACATATCCTTCTTTGTCTTTAACTGCTTGAAGGGCCCAATGTCCGGCAAAAAGGAAGCGTACTTATCCAGCAAGAGTCTCGTTTCGGCTTCCGTCCATACTGCAAAAAAGCGTTATTTAAGGATACGCATTTTCGGCTTTTACTTTTCTATCAATTTTCATTTTCTCAAATTTTCTGATTGCATTTCAGGGTTGCAGTTTGTGATCCTTTGTCAGTGTGAAGGGCTACACTGAACCCTAAGCAGGGTGCCAAATTCACAGGGCGAAGTGCAACTTTAAAAGACTTTCGCACCTCGGTATGGCAACATATTCGTGTAGAAAAGAAAACACTATAAGCACCTCCATGTTTTAATTACAATAAATCGGTTGGTTTCATAATTTTATGTTACAAATTCAGTTAAAGTAAACCATAGTGAACATGTAAATACCAATATGCAATCAGCAACGATTTTTCCCCATTTTTAATAGGCTTGCCTGATAAGCAGCGTAGTCGGAGGAGAAAGAAAAGCATACCGTTGAATTCCTTGGTTAATACAATGTTTAGATACTGTTATACTGCGGTATTTAAAGTGTTTGTATATGCAGAGTTGCATTGCACATTGCACCCATATACATTGCATTTTTTAAATATTAGGCCCATTCTTTGGCAACCGAGCTACAAAAGAACACTCGCTTTAATAACGAAATACACGCAAAGCAACAACACAAACTCGCCTATTTATCCGAGTTGAGCCAGGTCGGTTAAAGCATACGCGACCTGAAGAGTAGTGTTGTTAAGTGAGAAAACTGCTCTATTGTGAATTGTTAGTGGGAAAGTGGAGAGGGAGATTTTCGTATATACATGGTATATATTTTAAATAAGTATATATATTACGCAAATACATGTCTACATTCCGTTGAACTAATCACATGTTTCTTGCCAGCTACCGGCAGGGTTGCTTAAGTAGTTAAAAGCAAATTTTACCCGAGTTGAGCGTTCTTTTGTCGCTCGCTTACAAAAACATGCAGCTATTCAATATAGCAATGAACAATTTTTCTGAATTTTCCATTTCTAAAACACCAATGGTAACCAATACCAAACGAAGCATCAACTTTGTTTCTGATGCGCTGATTGCTCTACCGATGCGGCTCGATACCTTTTCGCATGCGTTTTGGAAAAGTATACATTTTCAATATTTTGTAGTTCGGCGTTATGGAACATTATACTTTGTACGTATGCAAAGCAATAGACGTTCTGAAGTCAGCCTATATCTATGAGTTTTCAAAAAAGTGGTCTTAGTAACTTTTCACTTTAACATATCGCTAGGTTAATGAGATGATAATTGGCATTTTAAAAAAGTCTGCACGGTTTCACCCAAATTGCAAACATTTTAATTAAAATCTAAGAAAAGAATTAATTTTAGTATAGTAAAGTGCAAAATTGAAATAGCAACTTGTGTTGAGTTTAGGAAAATTTATTCCTTGACATTGTAAAGCAGTTCCTTCCATATCAAGATATTTTTAAAACATATTTTGAAAAATTTCTGCAACCTTGCGGAGTGCTGCCAGCTTTTCTTTTTATCACATCAGGATGTAGCGAACAAATATGGCACGTTCTAGAAACCGCTACTTGAGATTTTCCGATTTTGACAATTCTCAAGTAAAAGTAAACAATGCTTTCACAAAAATCACCGTTTATTATCATTTTCGCTATTAATTCTTTTTATAAATCATATATTTTGCAATTTAAAACAATAAAACCACTTCTCCTGTCAAGAAATTGAATATTGAAAAAATGTACTATTTTACAGATTATTTTATCCTTCCATTCTGCCTGCTCTTAGGGCCGGTTCCTTAATGTCTGGTTAACAGTAATCTGAGGTTAAACACCGTTATCGACGTGTTCGACTCCATGCATACAACAGGGAGTCGGTAACGTCGATAACTATGTTTAACCGGAGATTAGTGTTAACCAGACATTGAGTAACCGGCCCTTAGTGTTTAGTGTTGGACAATTGAATGGTCGCCTCAAATAACGTTGTAAGCGACTATTGGTTCAAAGCTACTTTCCTTGATTTTAAAGATATTAATGTGTATATTTTATTTTTTTAAAGGCAAGATTGTTGAAGAGTGCTATACCGAAAAAGTAGAAAACCAAATCTAATCCCCGTTTGTGCGTCAGTAAACAAGTTTTTTTTTTTATTTCATAAAATTATAATTTTGTCGCTTACAACGTTATTTGAGGCGACCATTCAATTGTCGAGCAAAACTAAAACTACTCAAAAACACGAATATGTGGTAGATTGCGGACCTTGTGTGGTAGATGTGGTAGATGCTCAAAAAAGTGGCAGATCTACCATAATGTGGTAGAAGTCCGATCACTGATCACGAATTTTGTCATGAAACGTGGCGGGGATGTTAAGAAACGTATACATTTACATTATTTATCACTCTTTTCACTTTATTAGTAATAGTATTTAACTAATTTGTTGTTAAATACTTTGTAGTTTCACTAGCAAAGTTTCATATAAAAATAGAACTTAACACTTTCGATAGTTTGCGGATAATTTTAAAATGCATTGACGAAGCTTTTTTATATATAAAAGGCTACATTTAGCACTTTCGAACACATTTTTGCGAAGATTGTTCATGCTATCGCATTTAGCAAATGTACATTAAATGTACAGTAAATCGTATGCTTTTGACAAACAGCCATGATCCAGTCGCTTATTCAGATCCGTTCTATCACGATCAATTCGCACAGAGAAGATAATGTGCAAAAATCCTACTGAAAACGACACACGAAATTTTAAACAAAAAATTCAATACAAAAACTTGAATTGTTTTAACCATAACCGAAAATTTGTTTATGTATATATTCATTTGTCGGTGCTATCAATTGAAATTTCCTCAATTATACTATGTCTCCATTGTGAGATTTAATGAAGATTTAGCCCTCTGACGAGATTTTACGTTAAATCTTTTGAGATTTACCATATAAAATTAAATCTCGAAAGGCAGTAGATTTAAGTTAAATCT